CACGTCCTTCATCAGCCTGGCACCTGGAGGGTTTTTTTCCATCCTCGCAACAGCCCTGTGAGCTGGGATCCAGGAGCCCATCGCAGAGGAGGAGCCTGAGGCTCATGAGGAGTGATCACATGATAAGTGACAGAGCCAAGACCAGAACACCGGTCTCCAGACTCCAAGTCCAGTGCTCTTTCCACTGCCACCACATGCACAACTGCAGCCCCTACCGTGTGCCCTGCCCTTGGGGTGTGTCCATCTAGTCTGCTGGGCCAGCAACTCTGCAAGGACTGGCCTAAGTTGCTACACTGTCCAGCACATCCCAGGAAGATCTCGTGGCTGGTGCTGGTGGCACTCACTGTGCCAGCATCAGCCACGTTGCTCAGTGCTTTATGAGATTATCTCGTTTAGCTCTCAGAACTGCAGCAGTTAGGTGCTATTCCAGGGGAGAAAACTGAAGCTCAGAGAGGTGACACACAGCTGGTGTCTAAGCTGCAGTGTGACCCCAAAGCTCATGCTCTTAACCCTGTCCCTGTTCTGCCTCCTGCAATGGTAGTCAAGTGTCCAGGTGTTGTTAGCTGAGTGACTTGAGGAATGTAAGACATGCACGCACATTACCACGTAGCGTAAGCTACACAGCCATGCAAGGATGGTTTCATTAGTGCCCAAGCTCTCCCAGGTATAAAGAGGTAAAGTAACTTTCCCAAGTTGCACAGCCAATGAGTGATACAGCCAGGACTTGAACCCAGGAAGACTGGCTTCCGAGCCTTTGGTCTCACTGATTGGCGCCTCCTATGGTAAAGATGGGGAGGGAAGGACAAGGGGTGCAAGGGAAGGAGGAGGAGAGGACTAGTCTTTGAAGCACCAGGAAGGCTTCATGGAGGAGGTGCTCTTTGAGCTAGGTTTTGAAGTATGGGTAGGTTTCACAGAAGTGAAAGTGAGAATGGCACTCCAGGTGGCGTCCTTCATGGCACAGCACAGGCGAAGGCACAGCGGCGGAAGGCGTGCGGCACATGCAGTGAATCGGCCTGGGAGGCGGAATGGGGAGAAGTTCAGGGAGGAGATACACGTGCGCCTGTCCACCTGCCTTTGGGGAGAGGGGCAGGTTCTGGGAGGTAGCAAGGAGAGGCTGGAGAAGGCGTCTCTGAGCCGCTCCTGGGCGCCCCTTCCTCGTAGGTGTACATTACCGGCCACATACCCCCGGGGTTCTTCGAGAAGACGAGGAACAAGGCGTGGTTCCGGGAGACCTTCAACGAGCAGTACCTGGAGGTCGTCCAGAAGCACCATGGCGTCATAGCAGGGCAGTTCTTTGGGCACCATCACACCGACAGCTTTCGGGTGTTTTACGATGATGCAGGTACTCGGCCTGGGGGCAGCTGCCAGCCTGCCTCCTGCCTGCCACCAGCCTCTCAGTCCGGCTGTCTTTCCTGACAGGTGCCCCCATAAACGTCATGTTCCTCACACCTGGGGTCACCCCTTGGAAGACCACATTACCTGGAGTGGTCAACGGGGCCAACAATCCAAGCATCCGGGTGTTTGAATACGACCGAGCCACACTGAGCCTGCAGGTCAGGAGCCCTGGGTGTGCTGGGGCACAGGAGGAGGGTGGGAGGGACCTGAACGCATCACTGCCTCCCTAACTCGCCATTAATCCACCCACCACTGGCCACCCAGCCTTAGGAAGGTCAAGTTACCTCCACCCTTCTCGAGCTCAGGTTCAAAACCCTGGGGCCGCCTCTCACCAAGTCAGGTCAATTTTTCTTAATCAAATCTTTCACCCTGGATCACTGCTACAGCCTCCTCCCTGGTCTCCTTGCCTCCAGCCGTGCCCTGCTTTGGTCCATCTGTGCACACTACAGAAGGGATTCATCTTTCTAAAGCACTGCTTTCATCTTATCTCTCTCCTGCTCAAAAATCTTCAGTGGCTTCCCAGTGCCCTTAAGATAAAGTTGTGTCTCCGTGGCCTGGTATTTAAGGCCTCCCACAGTCTGACCTCAAGCCCATTGCCTGCCTCTTCCTATGTACTGACTAGGCTTCAGCTCCTAATCGAGTAATCCTGCACCTTCTAGAATGTGCTTGTGATTGTTGAAATGACAAAGAAATATTCCTTCATTTATTCAACAAAATGCATTAAGCATCTGCCATGTGCCAGGCCCCATTCTAAGCTCAGGAGATACACAAGTGATCAAAACAAAGTCACCACTTTCCTGGACCTGACATTCTTACAGAACAGAGACGATAAACAAATAAGTAAAATTAAGTATGGCACAGAGAGCAGGGCTAAGGAGAAAAGCAAAACAGCGTGAGGGGACAGGGCGGTGACGGTTATGGGGGTGTGCTGTGGGAGACAGGTGGGGCAGGGAAAGTGTCAGAGATACGGTGACATTTGAGTTCACAGTAAGTTGAGGGAGCGAGGCGGAGGGATGAGCAAGTCGAAGGGCCCAGTGTGGGCCTGTGCTCGGAGAGTTAGGAGAGGAGCAAGGAGGCTGGGCGGCCACAGTGGCAGTCACAGGGCACAGTGGGAGGGGCGAGGTCAGGTCACGTAGGCCACGATGCAGTCTCTGGATGTGGAGGGTTTGGGCAGAAGGATGAAAATCTTCTGACTTAAAATTTTCCAAAATCACCATGCCTGCCGTGCAGAGAAGCGGCTGCAGGGGCGAGTGCAGATGCAGGGGGCAGTCAGGAGGCAGCTACGAGGGTGGCTTGGCCAGGGCGGTAGCAGTGGGCTGGTGAGAAGTGTCGGGTCCTGGCCGTATTCTGAAGGCAGAGCAGTCAGATGTGCCGGTAGCTGGAGGTGGGGCACAAGAGGAAGAGAAGAGTCCACGAGGATTCCAAGGATTCCGGCCTGAGCAAGGGAGAGGATGAGGCTGCCGGTTACTGAGATGGGATGACTGTGGGGCCACCAGGCTTCGGAGGGACCATCAGAGGTCGGGTTTGGACCAGTTAGCTTTGGGACGGTGAAATGGCATTAAGTGGAAGTGGCGAGGGAGGGGGCAAGTTGGAGCTCCGGGAAGAGGTGGGTTTAGAGATTTAATCTGGGAGTGGACAGAAGACATTGAAAGCCAGGGATGGGATGAGACAACCTAGGTCCTTGACTCCAGGGAGTAATGTAGATGGAGAAGAGGTCTGAGGATTTTCAAGGGTGTGGCCTGTTGCCCACACGGACACTCAGAGAATCTTAGCGAGGACTTGCAGGCTGAGGAACCCCCACTGCACCCCATAATATGCCCCACATTCTTCTCAGGGAGGGAGACAGACCTGGATCCACCACTTGTAAGGTTTTTGAGCTTTTTGACCCCTCTGTGCTTCAGTTGCTTCATGTGTAAAAGGGTTTGGGGGAGGACTAAATGATGTAATGCACCCAGCATGCAGTTGTGGTCCACATGTGGCAGCTCTTCTTACCGCCATTTCTAGTGATCTGAAGCAGGTCCATAAATTTAACTGGAAAGTGTCGGACTGCTAAACCCTTCAGATTCTAGTCCTGAAGATGCAACTGGGCGCTAGGGGTCCACCGTTTATAACCTCTCTCAGCCAGGCACTCTGCTCATGGTCAGTCCTACTCCCTTTAAGTTGCTTTTCATCCATTCATTCTGCAAATACTTATTGAGCATCTTCTATGTGCCCAGAAGCTCGGTGGGACAGAAATGCATAGGTCTGAGGCACATAACCTGGGTTGCAATCCTGCCTCTGCCACTGAACACCTGCATGACCCTGGCCAAGTGAATTAACCTCTTCAGGCCTCAGTTTCCTCATCAGTGAAATGGGGGTAATAAGCGCAGCTGCCTTATCAGATTCAATCAGAGGATGTCTGCAAGTAGACCTGGTAGGTAATTAAATGCTCAGTAGTGATCACTGTCTTGGCTATAAAGAATTCGGGAGCAAATGCAAGGTGCAGGACTGGGGGTGGAACCGAACAGCAGCTCACAGCTGGCCGCCCCGTGCCCCCTCTCCAGGACATGGTGACCTACTTCCTGAACCTGAGCCTGGCCAACGCACAGGGGACGCCGCGCTGGGAGCTGGAGTACCGGCTGACCAAGGCCTACGGGGTGCCGGACGCAGGCGCCCAGTCCCTGCACACAGCTCTGGACCGCATCGCCAGTGACCAGGGCGCGCTGCAGCGCTACTACGTCTACAACTCGGTCAGCTACGATGACAGGGCCTGTGACGAGGCATGCCGCACCGAGCACGTGTGCGCCATGCGCCACGTGGCCTTCAGCACCTACGCCACCTGCTTGCTCGCCTCCCGCTCCGCGCCTGCGCCTGGGCTCGGGCTCCTGCTCCTGCTCCTGCTGACGGCGGGGCGGGGCCTGCGCGCGCTGCTGGCGCCCTGACCTTGGGCGCCCAGCCAGCCGCCCACTTGCTGGGCTCATCTTCCTCCTGGTAAAATGGGCAGCGTCACACCCTGGAGATCTGAGGTTTTCCACGTTTCTCCGTGTGCGGAGAGGGAACTGGATGGGACGGCCGGATCCGGAAACGAAGCCCCCACGAAAGCACATTTCTTTCATGGTTCATGTTTTACTCCCCAAACAAAGCTCATCGAGCACATTATTCTGTGCATTGTTTGTTTTACTATGTAAACGACGTTTAAAGTAGTGGCTCCTCCCCTCCCCCACTCAGATTGTCGTTGTAAACTGAGTGGCACGAACGCGTTGCTCGCAGTCTGCGAAGTCCCGCACTTTGGGATCAGAACGTGCCTTTCCGTTTCGTTGTTTTGTTTTGCAACAATGCAAATGTGAGGGACTGCTCCGGGCAGTCTCGCCTTCTAGGGCCTCCAGGCGCCTCAAATGTAAACTAGACGGTTGGAAGTCTGCTAAGCGAAGGGCGGCGGTCTGCGTGCCTCGCGGCCCTCGGGGCTCAGGTGGGCTGCGTCGGGGGACCCCTGGGCTGGCGTCAGGGCTGGAGTCAGAGGCCGGGGCAGCGGAAGGGCCAGGGTAAGGGACCGGGGCGTCCGCGGGCCTCGCCCCTCCCCGGACGGGGCGGGACGTGGAAGTCCCGCCCAGCAGGCCCGAGCCCGGGGCCGCCCCCGCCTCCTTCCTGCCGCCGCGACCCCTGGCTGCCAGGGCGGGCGCGCGCGGCAGAGGGGAAGGAGGGGCAGAGGCAGGCGGGCCATGCCCTTGTCGCCCCGCGCCACCCTTCTTCGGGACCTGGTCCTGGGCGTGCTGGGCACCGCCGCCTTCCTGCTCGACCTGGGTGCCGACCTGTGGGCCGCCTGCCAGTACGTGCTCAGCGGCCACTACCTGTGGGCGGCGCTGGTGCTGGCGCTGCTGGCCCTCGCCTCGGTCGCGATGCAGCTCTTCAGCTGGGTCTGGCTGCGCGCCGACCCCGTCGGCCTGCACGGGCCGCAGCCCCCCGGTCGCTGCCTGGCGCTGCTGCATCTCCTGCAGCTGGGATACCTGTACAGGTGAGCGCCGCGGGAAGGGGGAGGGGACACGCAGCCCGGCACCGCCGGCAGTGAGACGCCTGACATCGGAAGTGGGTGGGACCTACAGGTGAGCGTCCCGCCCATCAGAGAAAGAACTCCGGCTGACAGCCCTCAGCTCAGTTAACACTACCTTTCCTGGCACAGGTGAAGAAACTGAGGCCCAAACAAGAAGGGGAGGTGCATAGGATTCGGGGTCAGGCCTCTCTGGGATTTAGTCTGGCTTTGCCACCTGTGACCTCATTTCTGAGTTTCTCTGACCCTCAGTCTCCTCCTCTATAAAAAGTAGGTGCTCACCTAGAGATAGGTGTGGCAGGCATCTGTTGTGAGAAGTGAGTGAAAGAGGAAGTGCCTCTCACAGAGCTTGGTGTGTGGACTCAACACTGGCTGTCCCCTTAGCTGTGGGCAGGGCCTTGGGCAAGTCACTCACCTCTCTGGGGCTCAGTTTACTCGTTGTTCCGGGGAGATGGTAACATGGCCTACTTCAGTTTTGTGAGGTTTAAATGAAATGGCACCTGTACGTTGTCCTGGTGCGGAGTAAGCGTTCAACAAATGTCAGCTAGCTTCAGGGTTACTGGGGCCACCCAGGGAGCTTCAGCAGCCCTGACCCCCACAGCAGCACTGTACCCTCACAGCGGGCACCTCGCACCCTTTCCTGGCCTCTCGTATTCCTCTCCCTGGGCATTCGCTTCCCACACCCAGGCCAAGCCAGAGGGCAGAGATGGGGCCTTACCTATCTGTGTCCCTGCAACCAGCCAGGGCTGGGCACGAGCTGCGGCTTGGAAAATGTGTTGGATCGGGCTCCTTTTCAGAACTGGCAGGGCCCCATAGAAACTGAAACCAAGGGGTCCGAGTCATGCGATGAAGTCGGGACATCTGGTGATCTGGGTGGGGATGGAGCCAGGATCCACTTTGAATCCGTTTACAAATTCTTTCCAGATCTTGCCTTGACAAAGCTGCGTGGAGTCCCCAGGAGTGGGGGAGAGGAGCTTTGAATGTTGCAGTTTTGCCTGAGGCTCTGTACAGACAGACATCAAAAAAGAAAAAAAAAAAAACCGAGCGGACATGAAGGGGTGCTGCTAGATAGTCCCAGGCGGGCTTTGAGGAGCCTGGAATCCATAACCTCCTCCCTCATCCTCTCCCTCCCTCTCTCTGCTGAGCTTGAGTCAGACAGACTGTACTGAGCCTTGGTTTCGAAAACAGGGTCTCTGTTCCCACCTGTGACTTGGCTATGCAGGGCCCCATCCAGGACACTGGGGGGTCAGAGGCAAAGGCTCCTGCTGAGGGGGAGCCCCATGGGCCCTGCCTGCCCCTTAGTGTTCTCAAGTCTGTCCAGGGGAGTGCCAGGTGAGTGAGTGGGCTTACTAATCCCAGTAGCCAGCTGAGCGGAGTTCTGGGTCGGGCAGGCCATGGTGCATCCTCCACTCCACACTCATGCCAACGGGTCCCCCGGCCTGTCTGTCCAGCCTCTGGACTCAAGTCTGTCCCAGTCTCCATCGCCATTCCTCCAAGCCAGCCTCTTATGTGGGATCCCTCCTCCGATCTAAGCCCTCCAGCCCTCCCTCCCCAGCAGGGCAGGGTGTTCTTTCCAGAGCAGAATCTGACATGTCTTGCCTCTGCTCAGAAGCTCTCAGTGGCTCCCTTTGCCCATGGGATCCCAGGAGATTCGAGAGCTACTAAAAGTTGAGAACTGTCTCAGCCATCTTTATGGCATTTTTGAATTCAGTTTTGGGTCCGAATCCTGATCCCACTGCTTATTAGTATCTTGATCCTGTTTCCCCATCTGTAAAGTGGGGCTCCTCTGAGGAGTCAACAGGACAAAGTTTGTGATGAGCTTGGGACAGTGCCTGGCCAGCATGAGTAGACGCTGCATGTATCCCCATCCTACAGATGAGGAAATGAGTTCAGTAAGGTTAAGTCGCTCGCCCCAAGCCCCATCGCATGGAAGTGAGGAGCTCGGATTGGAGCCTGTCTGCCTCCACCAGGTGGGCGGGAGACTGAGGGATTCACAGGACACTAACCTGGCCTCTGTGTGTGCTGCCAGGTGCGTGCAGGGGCTGCAGCAGGGGCTGCTGGCGTGGCGGCAGGAAGCGCCCTCTGAGTTTGACTTGGCCTATGCCGACTTCCTCTCCCTGGACATCAGCATGTTGCGGCTCTTCGAGACCTTCTTGGAGACGACGCCGCAGCTCACCCTGGTGCTGGCCATCGTGCTGCAGAGTGGCCGGGCCGAGTCCTACCAACGTGAGTGACGGGCCAGCGCCAGCCCGGCTCTTACAGCTTGGGGAGTTTTCCCTCAAACGTCAGAAATGTTTTCTCTCTTTTAGAAAGGCTGCTTGGAAAGTAGGAGAACATGCTTAAGTCAGGCAGATCGGGCTTCGAATCTAAATCACCCTCTGGCTATAGGAGTTTGGACAATGACCTGAGTATCAGTATCAGTTTATTCTCATCTGAAAAGTGGACATAAGAAATACTCCTGCCGCATAGGGTTGATGGAAGGATTAAGGGAGGTGATGCCTGGTACATCATGGCTCTTAGTTGTCATTTTTACCATTTTGAAGACAATAGCGATAAAGTGTGTTGGGTGCCTCATACAGAACAGGCAGGTTGTTAGTCAAGAAACAATTCATTGAGCACCTTCGTACACGCAGGTTTTTATTGTGCATTTGTTCTGTGCCTGTTGCGGTGTTGGGGACACAGCAGGGAACCAGATGAGCGCCGCCCTGGCCTGCAGGGTGGTGGACTATAAACAGGTGCGTGCAGGAACTAGAAAAGGGAGAGGTAGATGTCGGAGCTGGGCAGGGCCACACAAAGCAGAAGTTTGACAGTGAGGAAATGCGGGAAGGTTTTTGCCCACAGAAGGGAAGCGACTTGGCTAAGGTCACAGGCCCAGCCGGTGGCCGAGCTAGGACTCCAATGAGCTAGGACTCCAACGCATGTCTGAGTCAGGCTCTAGGGCTTCCCTTTTGCTTTCACTGCCCCCGCACACCTTGAGGCTCCCTGTTGTAAATGCCGCAGTCCCCCAAGGAACCCGGTCCCCCCACTCTCCTGTCATTCGTCGTGTGACCTGGGAGAGTCTTCCTCTCTCTGGCCTCAGTTTCCACGGCCATGGAAGATGGGGTTGGACTCAGTCCCCAAGGCCCTTTCAGCTTGCTAGTCTGTAACTTAATTGGCAGAAAGGTAACAGCGGCCGTCTCAGCTGGGTCCCTGCGATCAGCCAGGCACCGTGGGAAGTGCCTGGAGTCCTCATTCTACATTCACAGCAGCCCTGTGGGTCACTGCTATGCTTATCTCCAGTTTTCACAAGAGGAAAGAGGTGCAGAAAGGTGCAGGGTGATTGGCCCTGGGTCACTCAGCACTCACTGGGCACAAGTTTTTGTCTATTTGAGGGTGGGGGGTATCTGGGACCAGGGCTAAGTGGAGACAGTTTACACCGTGTGGGTGGAGGGGCAGGGAGACAGATTTTCCCACTTTTTATTTAGCAAACGTTTATTCAGCTGCTATTATGTGCCGCATACTTAGCTGCTTTCTATCCTCAGGGAGCTCGGGAATAAGGAAATGGGTAATTGCTGTGTGATGAGACCCAGGCAGAAGTGAGTGGCATGTTCCAGGGACACCTGATGCAGCCGAGCGGGTGGGCTGCGGTCAGGATGGGTGATGCTAGGGGCTATTAGAGCTGGGGCTGGGAAGTGGGACATGTGATCCAGGCTGAACAGCCTGTGCAAAGCCTGTCAAGGTCACAGCGGGTGCCAGGCAAACGGGAAGAACATCGGCCCTGCTGAGACTGCGGGGTGGGAAGGGTAGTTAGAAAGGGCGACAGCCACAACTCTGATGGCAGCCTGGGAATGGGTTCCCAGTGCACATCTGTGGAGTGAGAGCAGGGGAGGAAGCTTCGGGAGACACTCCGGTGCTGCTTCCCCCTCCCTGGATGTCCTGGTGCTTCTAGGTCAGGATGGGCAGCCAGGAAGTGGGATAGGACCCCCGTTGTAAACTTCTGGGTCTTGGAAAATCAAGATTAGGGGCCAGTCTGAGGGGGGAGCCGGGGGATTGGGGAGACCTTCTGTCCACACAGCAGGGACGTTCCTCCTGGCCTGGGGGCAGCTTCAGCAGAGGCCTGTTGCCATCCCTTAGGATTTCCCGTCTCCCCCCCCTTTTTTTTTTTCCGAGACAGAGTCTCGCTTTGTTGCCCAGGCTAGAGTGAGTGCCATGGCGTCAGCTTAGCTCACAGCAACCTCAAACTCCTGGGCTCAAGCAATCCTACTGCCTCAGCCTCCTGAGTAGCTGGGACTACAGGCATGTGCCACCATGCCCGGCTAATTTTTTCTATTTATATTAGTTGGCCAATTAATTTCTTTCTATTTATAGTAGAGACAGGGTCTTGCTCTTGCTTAGGCTGGTTTCAAACTCCTGACCTTGAGCAAGCCACCTGCCTTGGCCTCCCAGAGTGCTAGGATCATCTCCCCTTTTGAAACTCAGAACCGGGGAACTGGGACTGCTGACATTCACACTCAGGAAAGGCTTGGGCTCATCCGGGAAGGGAAGGGTTATGGTGGCCTAGAAGATGCTCAGCGTGAGGCCAAGGCCCAGGGGTGCTGAATGCTGGGTGACTCTTTGTTAGTCACATGCATACCCTCTCATCCTTGAAAATGCCACCGTGCCTTACTATGCAGGTGGTGAAGGGCACACTGGTGGTTGAGTCCCAACTCTTCTTGTGGTTGCGTGAACTTACCGAATGTCCTCCCCCTGCAGCTGTTCTTCGACAAACAGGGGTGCTAATGTCTGCGTCGGGGTGCTGTGAGGGCCCCCGAGGTACCTGTGACCCCTGGGGGCTGCCATGCAGGCTGTGCACAGCGCTCACCCATATCCTGTCACTCTTTGCAGTGGTTGGCATCTGCGTGTCCTTCGCGGGCATCTCGTGGGCGCTGCTGGACTACCACCGGGCCTTGCGCGCCTGCCTGCCCTCCAAGCACCTCCTGGGCCCGGGCTCCTCCGTGATCTACTTCCTGTGGAACCTGCTGCTGCTGTGGCCCCGAGTCCTGGCTGTGGCCCTGTTCGCAGCCATCTTCCCCTGCTTCGTGGGCCTGCACTTCCTGGGCCTGTGGCTGGTGCTGCTGCTCTGGGTCTGGCTTCAGGGCACAGACTTTATGCCGGACGCTGGCTCCGAGTGGCTGTACCGGGTGACGGTGGCCACAATCCTCTATTTCTCCTGGTTCAATGTGGCTGAGGGCCACACCCGAGGCCGGGCCACCATCCATGTGGTGTTCCTCTTGAGTGACAGTGTTCTCCTGGTGGCCACTGGAATGACTCATAGCACCTGGCTGCCCAGTGGGGTCCCACTGCAGACGTGGCTGCCTGTGGCGGGCGTCTGCTTCCTCCTGGGTCTGGCTTTGCGACTGGCCTACTACCGCTGGCTGCACCCTCGCTGCAGCTGGGAGCCCGACCGGGTGGACGGGGCCCGGAGTCTGCTTTCCCCAGAGCGGGGGAGTCAGCTGCCTCAGAACAGGCGTGCGGCCCAGTTAGCTCACACCTTCTTCCCCAAGGCTAAGGGTGCGGCTGCTTCGCCAGTGAAGGGAGAGGCCAACGGGGTCCTCTGAGGCAGGGTCTGACCCAGCGAGGGAAGGAGGACAGTGAGTCACTGTAGAAGGCAGGAGAAGATAAGCTAATTATGCTGCTGTGGGCCTGAGCCACTCACCGAAAGTGGGACGCCTGCTCTGTGCCCGGCACAGCAGAGTCGAGTAAGGCACAGGCCTCCTTCGAGGCATTCACAGTGTGACCAAGACGACAAGGGCTGGGTCCTGCAGGGTCAGGGCCCCAGTTATATACAGAACACTTCGAGAGGAAAGAAGAGAGCCCTTTTCTGTCCCTGTCCCCCACCAGTATAGCTGGTGACCCCAAGCTTCCCCTGTGGGTATGTGCACCTCCCGGCCATCTCTAAAGTGATTGGTAGAGGTGCTGTCCCACCCCTTAAGGACCCAGGGGCTCCAGGGGGCTGTTCTCTAGAATTCTTCCTCCCCTGCCCTGCCACATTCATTCAATTCATTCAACAACATTTACTGAGAGCATTTTATGTGCCAGGAATAACATTCTGTCCTTGGAAGCTGGAACAAGCTCAGCTGCCACCCTAGCTTCATCCCTCACGCACTCCACCCAGTCCTGGGTTGGATCTCAAGGCTGGAAGCCAGGGCTGTGAACTCTGGGTGCCCCCCCCCCCCTCGTCAGGCTCTGCAGGGTGCAGCTGGCACACCCTCCGCTCCTGTTCTCTGGGGCCGCCTTTCAACCAGATGCCTTGTGAACCTGCGGTCTGAGTACTTTTATATTCTTTAGCCAGCGTACCTCCTACCTCAGAGTCCGTGTGAGAGGAAGATGTGGGTGCATATGTGTCTCCGCAAGGAGAGACACGTGTTGTCTTTAACAGTATTATTAGGTTATTATTAAAACCTCATGAAATCCGTTAACCTAGTCTGTGTCATTAAACAAAATCTCCCGGAGTTCAAAACCTCCTGGAAAGGAGTCCAGGACATGAAATCCATCCCAAAATTGGTAAAGGCCCCCAAGACAGAGAAAAAGAGCTGGCTTAGTTGGGCCTCCTCGGCCTTGTTTCCCACGTTTTTGGAACTGGTGGGGCCAGCGGGGGGTTGAGTGCTCAGCTGGGGACCAGAACCCAGGTCTGGGCTGACTCTTGTGCATGCTCTTGACTACCAGCGCTGCTCTGGGCCTGGCAGGAGCAGCCACAAACACCTTAGTACCGTGATAAAGTGACTTGTGGGACACACGTGATAGTGCTGGGGAAGTGGGATCTTTTGCTGTTCTGGGAGGTCTGTGGTTTGGAGAAACAAGGAACAGGAAAAGGTCACTGGACACAAGAAAAGGTTCCAATGAGTCACCTGTGTGATGGGATCCGGGATAGTCTCAGGTCTGTTATTCATTTATTCTAGTGGAGACATAATAAATAGGCTTAAGTAAAACCTTTGGTACATCAGATAGTGTTGAGTGCTAAAAAAAAAAAACATAACACAGGGAAGGGGATAGGGCGTACTTGTGTGTTGGGGGTGGGAGTTACAAGTTTATATAGAATGGCTGCGGAAAGCCCCCCTGAGAAATTGATAAGCCCTAAAGGAAAGGGAGGGAGGGAGTCCTTTCAGCGGTGACTGTGTGATGTGGCCTGTAAATGTCAAGAAGGAGCAGAGTCCAGAGTCACTGGTGGCTTGAACTATTGTGAGGGAAGGAATTTTTTTTTTTTAATTTCAGAATATTACGGGGATATAAAATGTTTTGGTTATATAATTTGCTTTTGTACAGTTTGAGTGGAAGTTATGAATTTGTCCATCACCCAGATAATGTGCATTGTACCCGTTAGGTGTGCATTTACCCATCCCCTCATCCCCGCTCCCGCCTGCTTGATTTCTGTTAAGTTTTACTTTTGTGCGTGCATGTATCGATCCATTAGTTCCAATTTAGTAGTGAGTACATGTGGTATTTGTTTTTCCATTCTTGCTATACTTCACTTAGAAGAATGGTCTCCAGTTCATCCAGGTTGTTACAAAAGGTTCACCATTTTTTTTTTTATGGCTGAGTAGTACTCCATGGTATACACATGATATACCACTTTTTATTAATCCATTCATGTATTAATGGACACTTGAGTTGTTTCCACATCTTTGCAATTGTGAATTGTGCTGCTATGAACATTTGAGTGCAAGTGTCTTTTTTATAAAATATCTCTTTTTCCTTTGGGTAAATACCCAGTAGTGGAATTGCTGGATCAAATGGTTAGGTCTACTCTTAGTTCTTAGAGGTATCTACATACTACTTTCCACGGAGGGTGTACTAGTTTGTAATCCCACTGACAGTGCACAAGTGTTCTTTCTCTCTGCATCCAAGCTGACATCTGTTGTTTTGGAGCTTTTTGATAAAAGCCATTCTCACTGGAGTTAGGTGGTGTCTCATTGTGGTTTTGATTTGCATTTCCCTGATGATTAGAGACGTTGAGCATTTTTTCATGTGTTTGTTGGCCATTAGTCTTTTCTTTTGAAAAGTTTCTATTTTTTCTCCACTTGTTTGATGTTTACTTGCTGATTTGCCTGAGTTCTTTGCGGATTCTAGTTATCAGTCCTTTATTGGATGTATAGCATGCAAATATTTTCCCATTCTGTAGGTTGTCTGTTTGCTCTATGGATTGTTTCCTTGGCTGTGCAGAAGCTTTTAAATTTAATCAGGTCCCACTTATTTATTTTTGTCATTGCTGTGATTGCCTTTGAGATCTTCTGCATAATTCTTTGCCTAGGCCAATAGCTATGTGAGTTTTTCCAACCTCTTCTGATCCTTTCAATATATGCAGAAAAAGCTTTTGACAAAATTCAGCACTCTTTTATGATAAGAGGTCTCAATAAAACAGGCATCTATGGAACATACCTCAACATACTCCAATCACTTCAGAAGTGTCACCATTTCTGTTCAACATTGTACTGGAAGTCCTAGCCAGAGCAGTCAGGCAAGAGAAAGAAACCAAGGATATCCAAATGGGGAAAGAAGAGGTCAAACTATAACTCTCTGCTGATTATATGATCTTATATCTAGAAAACCCCAAAGATTCTGTCAAGAAACACCTGAAATTGATAAATAAATTCAGCAAAGTCTCGGGTTACAAAATCAATGTACACAAATCAGTACCATTCCTATATACCAACAACAGTCAAGCTGAGAATCAAATAAAGACTCAGTATCTTTCACAATAGCAACAAAGAAAATAAAATACTTAGGAATATATTTAACCAAGGAGGTGAAAGATCTACAGGGAGAACTATAAAACACTGAGGAAAGAAATTGCAGAAGACATAAACAAATGGAAAAACATATCATGCTCATGGATTGGCAGAATCAACATTGTTAAAATGGCTATACTACCCAAAGAGGGAAGGAATGTTACAAATGGAATTCCACGAAATGAAGGGTTTGTAGTGCTCTAGTGACCTGAAGCTAAGGATGACCCAGAGATGAAGGATGGGGGCAGGGAGAAGTTCTGGGAAGATGATGCTGGTGATTTTGACGTACATGGCACATTATAGGCAGAACTGTAGATCATCCAATCTAGTGATTTCCAGACTTTTGAGTATCATGGACTGGTAAAATGGCCAACGTGGTTGCCAATTTAATTTTAACAAAAGAAGTCATTAAAAACTATCACCATCGGCTGGGCTCATGCCCATAATCCCAGCACTTTTGGGAGGCTGAGGTGGGAGGATTGCTCAAGGCCAGGAGTTCAGGACCCCGTCTCTACAAAAAATAGAAAAACTAGCCAGGCGTGGTGGCACTTGCCTATAGTCCCAACTACTCTGGAGGCTTGAGGCAGAAGGATCACTTGAGCCCAGGAGTTTGAGGTTGCTGTGAGTTATGATGACATCACTCCATTCTAGCCCAGGCAACAGAGTGGGGCCCTGTCTCCAAAAACAAAACACCCCAAAACAACAAAAACACACACAAAACAAAAAAACCCCAGAACTATCACCATCTATTATCTTCATCTCATAAAAGAAAGGATCTGACAATCTCAGAACAAAGGACCAATTAGTTAATTGAATACATTTAAACATACACACACAATTGAAATCATAATCATTTCTCGATTCATAGGGAATATCAATACCAGCGAGGGCAGGCTTAGCTTTTATGAATTGCTAGGCTTAGTGCCCAACCTGTCTTGGACATAGGTCTTAAGGGTGTCACCAAAACAGTGAAACATGTGTCACCAAACTTATTCCTGTCATGTGTGAAGAAGAGTAGGGTGAGGGGAGATGCCATATGCACAAATAGAAGGCATGCCCCTTTTCTCCTTTTTTAGGCATGCCCCATTTCTCCTAAGAAAATCCAAAACGATGTACTTCTAATTTTATTTTTGGCTAAGCTCTCAACCAATACTCTCTATATGAAATGGCCAAATGATGGTAATATGTATGCAATTAAATCCAAACCATGTATATAGTGTACCACTTAAGCTGCAGAATCTAGCAGTTGATTTGTATATATATATATATATATGTATTTTTTTGAGACAGTCTTACTCTGTTCCCCGGGCTAGAGTGCCGTGGCATCAGCATAGCTCACAGCAACCTCAAACTCCTGGGCTCAAGCGATCCTCCTGCCTCAGCTTCCTGAGTAGCTGCAACTACAGGCATGCGCCACCATGCCCAGCTAATTTTTCCTATATATATATATATATTTAGTTGTCCAGCTAATTTCTTTGTATTTTTAGTAGAGACAGGGTCTTGCTCTTACTCAAGCTGGTCTCGAATTCCTGAGCTCAAACAATCCACCTGCTTCGGCCTCCCAGATTGCTAGGATTACACGCGTGAGCCACCGTGCCCAGCCGGATTTGTATATGTTTTTAAAGTTTAAAAATTCAACAACTTAAAAAAGATGACAGCGACATTACTGGCAACTAGAAATTCCACTTGAATGTTCCAAGGATTTTGTTTAACCATTTTGGTACGAGTGTGGACTATAGTCGACAGCCACAGATGAACGCGCACAGCCCAGTGTCAACTTTAGCTGACAGCTGTGATATGACTTTCCTATTTTTCATTTATCAAAATAAAATTGTGAACATTTAAAAATAACGTAATGAAAACATATATGTATATGTTACCTATTCTGATTTACATTACAAGTAAAGCTGCCTGTAAAGTAAAACAACCTTTCAGTGCTTTAAAGCTTTCCTCGTCACACAGGAGCAAAACGGATTCGTCGTCAATGCACAGCACAAACTATCTTGCTGACATGAGTGCCGGCTGTGGGCAAGGTTTCGCGGCCAGTGAGCACCGTACCGAAGTGGTTAAAAGAAACTTGTTTTAGAAAAATAAAAAATTCCTAAATTGCTCATTTCCACCTGCTACCAAAGGATTTGTAAGAGAAATGTACCTTATATTAATTGTAGGGGGAGACAGATGTTTATCTACTCCTTGGGCTTGGAAATCAATGCCTTTAATATCTATGCTTATAACTGGGTAAGGATATACCAACTAACACATTTACTTCAACTACGGCGTCGTTCAAAATCTGCACCTAATAAGGAAAAATACGTGTAATAGTCTAACATGTATGGTACTTGGGAAGCTAGAACTGAATTCTAATTTTCTTCATTGGACTAAAAGGCAGAAAACTTTCTTGATGGTTTTCCAGGCCAGTGAGCGACAGCCAGACCCAAACTGGG